CGAAAAAGGTAGAAAAATGGTTAAAAAAATTTGTAAAAAAAACTGATATAAACCAGTACTGCATGTTATTTGCTACTGGCAGTATAAAGAAACTAAAAAATGAATATATATGAAGAAAAAAATCTGAAAGTGTCCATATTTTAATGGTCATCCAAAATGACTCTCTTAAAGTTTGGTATAGTTTATCAATAGAGATGGCCTAAACTAAATAGCGAAACGTTTTTATACGACATTAGAGGATATTTTACACTACGATTACACTACATTTTTACACACTGATTATTTTACACTACACACATATTTACACTACGATGAGAACGTTATATATGTTCTGTATATCTAATGAAATATAAGCGAAATGAATAGTGAAACATTTGATATCATACGAGATAAATATATATTTAGACTTCAATGGGAACATTTTATATATTCTGTATATCTGAAAACGGAAAAGCATATGATGTAATTTCAGAAAAATATTGATTGTTTTTATTGTAATGTGTTTTCCTAAATTCAGCTTTTGAATAACTTAAGTTTTTAATCAATAACAGACAGAATAAATTTGAAAGATCTTATATTTAAACTTAATTTTATATTTTAACAAATGACAACCCCCTCGAGTGAAAAGTTAAACAACGCAACTATCCGTTTCGAGAAGAACAACTTCCCAACATTGACGCATGGACCATCGGGCATTTTCCAAGACGCCAAGTCTCTGACACATACGTTCATTTGCTTCAAAGACTTCTGCAAAAAAATGTTCTTCGGGCATAACAGGATTTTTGCAAACATATTATTTATATAGCAGCACATAACGAAATCGAGGATGGTATGCCAGATATTGTTGAGACCTTAGGTTTAATTGCACCGGGATCTCGCGGTACAGTTTGACTGAAATGTGAAGTCGCTCTTGTGCGCTGAAACCACATGTTACAGCGAATGTCTGCCAGTATGTCATGAAGTAATTTCGATAACATATCCTCCAAGATTATCGGATACGTTCACCCGTCCAGACGGGTTGGTAAAAGATATGGTTTTAGTAACCAATCTTCTAGAATTCCCAGACAAAGGTTTATGGTAGCTTCTTTCGTAAGGGAAACTCAGGTTGGAAAATCGGCTTGCGTTACAGCTTCAGAGACCACATGTCTATTGTACAAATGAATTGTCTTTGCATGGCAGACAGACAACACTTTAAGTTGAACAAGGACTTTCGAAACACTTATTAACCAAATGTAAGAGGAAACGTAAAAATTAAATAATTAAAAAATTAGTAGCACGATGCGATTTTTAAAGCAATTGACAATAATACATGGGAAGTTTCAAACAAATAGGTATTTTACTGCAAAATAATTAAACCTTTCACCAACAGTTTTACTTCAGTTTTGTTAGACGTTCGTACAGTAGAGCAGTACAGTTTTCAACGTAGTAAATATTACGATTATCTAGTGCGACAATCATCATTCACTAAAATTAGCCTCAAACATGGCATTGCGTTCTGCATGATATATAGGAGGTTCCAGCTATAATTTTTGCATGCGATAGTGACTAACTTTTTTTAATATGGATAATAACATCATATGTCTTCTATACACTTGCGACTTCAAATAAAAATATAACTATTATGGCAATTAAGTCTTCCTTTATGAAAATTATTTCATGTTTTTTTGTGAATTTCTTTAAAAACAGCATCCTGCTATGCCTATACTTTTGTAAATATTTGATTTTTAATTTTTCTACTATTTTTGTTTATCTATATGTGCAACGTAGCTTTTAATTAGTAGGTATGAGAAATTGTATAACATGGAGAGCTAAACGAGTGTGAGACTAATTGCTGAATGTTCTTCATTCGGTTTGAGATCAACGTCTTTTAATGTTTTATTTTACTTTATTATCCACTTCAGTTAACTTCATTCCGTTACGTATATTTTATTTTATTAAGCTAATTTCAAATAAAATACCGCAAATGATGCCCCCTACGCTTTTTATATATATTATGAATTTAAAATTTTATTCATTATCTGTTTGATAAATTAAAAACATTTAAACTATTGTATTGATATCGTTCAACTATCTTGCTTGCATAGTTTCTCTAATAAATAATTCCTTTTACTTTCTTTTTTTTTTTCTTTACCAGTCTATTTCTCAACATGATATATCATAATTTGGCCACCAGCGTGCTCTTTCGCACAATATGCTACAAAGATATTTTCGTGAAAAATGTGCTTGTTTATTTCCCACTATAATTAGTACCGTTTTAGATTTCTAAGAGAAAATTATTTCTGTTACATTAGTAGCACTGCGTATTAATTGTATGGTTATCAGGACAAGTTCATCGCGAAAACAAGTAAGGAAAATTAACTTTATTCCTGAATCTGAGAATGAGTATATAAAAAAAAAATAAGTAAACAATGCAACAGTTAAAGAAGGAAATTTTTTAACTTAAAAATTAGTATTATTTGATTAATCAATTGGTTATTGTTTATATGTTAACTTTGTAAATATTGTTACGAAATATATTATTACTTGGCTTGGTTTTTATTTTCCTTTGTTTGGATTTTATCTTTGTATTGAGGATAAACAATTACGCTTACCCTGCATTTGAAATGAATATAATAATGAAGCAAAAATATTATACTGTATTTTAACATTGTTCGCTGTTCAAACATAGTATCATTTACAATGCATATACCATTGTATCATTACCAGTGTATACCCTATAGCAGCGTTTCTTAAACTGTGGGTCGCGATCCCCAGGGAAGTAGCAGGAGCTGCAGCAGGGGGGTAGCCACCAAAATTTAGCAGTTTTGATATTCTTTTAACTTATTATGATAATTTTTCATTTACCAAATATTTTTACACAATGCATCTGAAAATAGATAAATATAAGACAATACAGATAAAGAAAAAAGGAAAACGTTTCGACTCATTCTTTTTATAATAGAAACGTTCATTTTAATTGCTTTTGCACATGACGCTGTCATTTCGTCTGTTACTTACTTAAAATTTTCACATTGTTCTATGTCTTAAAATTAGAAATTGAAGTTAATGACTTAAAACTGCAATAGCACAAGTGGAAAAATTGACAGTTTCACTCACTCGTGTGTCGGATTTGCGCAATGCTTATGGGGTCCCACAAAATTTTCGTAAGTATTATGGATTCCTGGGGGTTGCGAAAAACTCTCAGTGATGAAAAGGTGTCGTGACTGAAAAATGCTTAAGAAACTATGCCCTATAGGATAACACGAAGCTTCTTCGTATTTCACAGTTATGAGAAGTTCCGACTTCCGCATTTTTAACGTCTTAAGTGATTAGCACATTTGCTGCATCATATAAATTAAGCAAATTAATGCCTCAAATCACAATATACTTTCATTACACAACATCCTTGAGGTTATAGTGTATGCTCAAGGTTGTTGAATTACTAATTTTATGTTTCGCTGGCTGGGCATGTTTCTTTTCTTTCAAGTATAAGTGTATTAAAACATTGCTACGAATGGAAACTATACATAAGGCAAAAAGTATCTCAGATTAAGAGTATATGCCACATTTTATCAGAAGTAAGTATTTTAAGTGCAACAGATTATTTCTGGATGTAGAAAAGTATAATATTGCAGTAGCAAATAGTACAATATAAATGTAGTTTACTGTACAGTAAATGTAAAAACTTACGGCTGGGTATTGTTCCTAATCTCTGCGATGCGATGTAGTAATTTACCAAACAAGTGATGTGTATAGCAATGCAAGAACGTATCTGTCAATGAAACATTTTCAGTGCATTGATACATATATGTGAATAGTTAACAAAGCATATGATATATAAAAGAAATTCAAACTTCCCAAGCATGTGTGGTATAAAAATAAGACAAGTTCAAAAAATATTAGCGCATCAAAATGAGTATGATTATCTTAGAAAATATAACAGGCATAAATTTGTTTTCAGAAGCTGCGACGTCCAGGTTGCACGACAAGAACTTTACCATCCGACTGTTAAGCTGTTTGTGTTAATTGAGGCTTGCGTAAATCCAGCATTGCATTCAGTTTTCCATAAATGAATTCAATATTCACTAATTAATATTTTAACATAACGATACCTGCTTACTACCTTGTGCAGATGCCACCCAACCGGTAAAGTGGTTAGCGTCGCTGACTGCCGCTACGAAGGGCCCCGGCTTGAATCCCGGATAAGGCATGGATGTTTGCAAATGTATAGTGTCAGTGCGGCATGGTGGCACTCTAAAACTTCTGCGAGCCGAAAGTCCTCTCGTGCGGTTTGATGGAGAGGGACCAGGGTGAGAGATCTTCGGACCCGTCCCTTCGGGGTGTTCTCCATCAAAATTGAGGGCGGAGCTGAGCTAAATCGCACTGTCACCTGTAAAGTGCTCAATTACAGGCTTATCTTGCTCTCCTTGCCACAAGGAATTTCATGGCCTTGAGACGATATTACTTTCCAGACAAGTGAGCATAAGTAACAACAACTGGTGCATATAATTAGTCTTCAATTCTTCTAGCTGTAATCTCTCTGCTGTATTAGAATGGAATTTGCATCGAATATATGCAATTATATTCAGCTTGGGTTTGATATATGCTAGATAAATTACAGAAAAATTGTATATTTATGTTTGCTGTTCACAAACAATATCATTATCGAACAATTTAAAAATGTATGAAAAACCTTTTATACAAGTTCCTCATTAAATCCTCATTAAAATACAAGTTCCTCATTAAGAACATTTATTCTTATATAACATATACTTACATGTACTTCATATTTTATAGATGTTTATTATGATAAATGTGCATGTAAGTAAAGTGACACATCTCGTGAAGTGCTAATATCTCTATAAATTTTGAAAAATGTCTTTATTCTTGTGATTTTTCTCTTGAAGTACTAAATTTTTTTTGTATGTTTGTTCTTGTTATATGTTTTATTTTATTGTTACGTGTATAGTAATTTAATGGAAGTGGTAACTGTTTAAAGAATTTTCTCTTATCTTTTATTCATGCATGGTAATGAAAATCTGTTTACAGTGTGTCATAAATCGCTAAAAATAATAATAAAATAAAATTAACTATGTCATAAATCACTAAATTTTATCACTCAAGGTGGTTATAATTGCACCTTAGATGGTGATTGTCCGCACGCAGTGCAATATATGATATCAATGCTTTCAGAATTTAATTAAATTTAATATCGTGCGGTACATCCCCGAGAATTATATTAGGACATCAAGCTTTCACTTTTCTTTAATTACTGTATGACAATTTCCAATAAAAATCCGGCATGCCCCTTATTTTAATTTTAATTTCACATGACCAGCAAGTACTACGGTAGCTAAAATAATTTTAACATTTAGTACATTTAACTGAAACCGTGCGATTTAATATTTTGCGCATGTTTTTATTCATTATAAGTGTAAGAAAAAATTCTGACTTTAAGAGTCATATTATATGCAGTCATATGAGGTATATTTCAGTTAAATGAATAATTGTTTGATAATGGCCGTATTAGTATTTTAATTATGAAAGAAAACATTTTCCGAGATGTGTAATTAATTATTTATTTTTCTTTCTTTTTCTAGTACCTTTACCTATATCCGAATACGAAGCCGTGGCTGGAGGAGAAGCCTATTTGCCTTGTAATTTCACTCTTCCAAGTGATCCAGAATTGGTGTCTTTGATGCTGTGGTACAGGGACCAAGAAAGAGTACCAATTTATACACTGGATTTCCGCAAGGGAACAAGAGATAACCCAAAACATTTTCCAGTTGCAGCATATGCTGAAAGATCTTATTTTGATGTATCCAAAACACCACCTACGATCAGGCTAGATTCTGTAAGCATAGAAGATGAAGGTTACTACCGCTGCAATATAGAATTTCGGAGATCAAGGACGGTAGTTCGAATAGTGAAGCTTAATATAATTAGTAAGTAAATACAAGCTATGTTAAAATTGCGAGCTCTAACTATGATTACTGTTTTATTATGATTTCTTTTAATCCAACTTTCATGAATTATTTCTGAAGCTTTAACCAATATTAAATTATAAGCTAATATGCAAGCAGTCTCAGAATATTATGTCACAGAAATTAGAATGTATTCTGTAATTCAGCATTATGTAATAAGACTTTGCGTAGAAATGTATTACGTTATTTTTTTAGGAACACAAATGCTAGTTACGAAATTTTAACTCATTTTCATGTAACTCGTATCTGATTTACACATACATACACATGTATGGTACAACACAAACTGAATTCTTACAATATGAACCTTCTATCTGTTTGTATTATATAATACCGCATAGGAGAACATTTTTACTTCCTTGTAAGAATTAAAGAAGTACTGTATTCGCAAAAAAATTTGGTTATCAGATTTCAAAGGAAATATACTTTTTGACCATTCCCTGATCCATTTTGCCTATTTCTTGTATGACGTCTGTATTTTCGGAAATAATAAAGTATCTATATTTCAAAATCAATTTATAAAATGGGTTCAAAGGAGATTTTTTTTTCGTGACGTTTGTATCTCGCCTGACTCAAAAAGCTGAAATTTTAGCCGTAAACGCTGAAATTTTCTGTATGGGACTGCTTTAGAGCCTAGGTGTGCGCCTCCATTTCTATCGCAATCGCTAGTGCCAAAAGTGTATATAAGATATCTAATATATATATATCCATCCCTTCATCCTGCTTGAAATTCCTTACCCGGCCTTTATTTTCGCAATCATTAGTCATAGAAATATAATTACAGTAGTGTTTCAAATTATAAAATATATTTATGTTTTCAATTTCAATTCAAAAAAAAAAAAAAATTGGGGGCAATCTAAATTTTAATACGGTCTTCCGTTTCTTTGCCCATATTTGGGTAAATTTTATACTCGTTATAATAAAATAAAAATAAAAGAAGAAAAAATGAGAATGATATTCCGATTCAGATAAAATAAAAATATAACACGTCTGTCTCCCGTGACACAGAGGTGACCGAGATATTGAACTTCAAAATTGGCAGCTTTTGATGCTATTTTCCAATTGGGCATGAGGGATCTATTAATTTAGAATATGTTTAAATGAAGAAATATGAAAAATGTTTAAATGAAGTGCAGCAAAAGAAATGTATAATTTTAAAAGCCGTACAAGGAAGCCCTGTGGTGCCCAAATCAGGTTTTTAAAAAATATAACAGTTATGTTATAGACATTACTTTTTCATGTATATCAAAATATGCTTAATATATTACATTTAAACTACTAGATTTATACAGGCTTTGTTCGGAAATAATTCTTCGTTTTAAAAGTGTTACATAGTTAAATCTTCGGAAAAAGTGGAAGGTCTTCAAATTCAGTTCTTGATTTTTAAGATAATATGTGTATATATATATATTATTATAAGTAAGGTTGTAAGAACAAACGAAAAAAGACCAATTTAGGTCAAAAGTTTGAACATTGTGCTGCAAAATTAAGGAAATTAGAAGATAAATTTTAGTAAGCACGCCAGAAAGTTACCATATATATATGCTAGGCATACAAATACTGGTAAAATTGGATTTAAAATAAATCGATTTCCTTTAATGTTCTTATAATTTATCAAATGATAGGAAGGAAATTAACCGGTCTGTTTTGAAAAGAAGCAATTTTTTCCGTCGAGTGTCAAAATGCTATTTACTCTTTATTAATTGTCTGCTTAATAATATTTTCTCATTTTCATTTTCCTTTAGTACCTTCCCGATCGGTTTTGATTATGGATGACCGAGGACAAAGGTTAAAAGGTTTAGCAGGACCCTATGACGAAGGTGCTTATCTCGCATTGCTTTGCGAAGCAGATGGAGGTGAGAGGTTATGCATTTTACTCAAATTACCTTATCTAAAGTCTTTATGGAATTTTCTATGTATTGCTAGGAGGGAGTTATTAAAATTTCCGCAGATAATTTGTGGAATCGTGAGTAAATTAAGGTCATTGATTAAAGCGCTCTGAAATTAAATCGCTGAGAAGGTATTAGAGACTAATATGTCCTGCAAATTTATTGAATTGTTAGGAAGTTAGTGAAATTGATGGTATGTTACAAATGCGTATGAAGTATCGTGAATATTTGATGCGTGTTTTAGTTAATGTTTTTATAAATGAAGTTTTTATATAATTAAAGCTAATGCAGTATAGTGTAATAATTACATTATTTTATTTAGATTTAATCATAATAACATATCTATCCCAAACTTAGTAACATATGCAAGTACTTTAATAATTAACTCTTTAATGTCGATACAGTTTGATATGTAGTAGATTGAAATTTGATTTTAAAAAAGCAATCAACGAAGCAGTACAATTCAAAAAAAGAGACGGCTATGAAATTACACTAACATTATGTTCATTGATACAGAGCTGCGATTAATTAAAATTTTAGTTGCACTGTGTTTAAGATGTAGAGCAAAGAAAAAGAAACTTTGTAGCCTAATTAATTTTCAACTGTGAGAGTGTATTAAAATCATGTGATACATACCTGTAAGATTTAATTTCTACTTTACTCAGGATTTTACATTGATACTGAATTTCAGAGCAATTATTTTGATAGTTTTATTGTCTTGTTGAACATAGTTGTTTATACGTTTCTTTACTATATAACTGTACCTTTTAAGGAAGAATTATTACAATTGGTAGCAGAAATAATTAACGTAAGCAATTTTTCCTGCAGGAAATGTTATCCTAGATTACATCGCGCCCGTTAGTTTCATCAAAGCAACTTCACATATTTACAGTTCAATACAATTTCCAAAATATAACACTGCATTGTTTAAACTAGTTATAATACGTTGTAAAAATGGGTCATTAAAACAGTTACCAGTTTTAAATACTATTTTAACATGTTTCGATGTAAACAATGTTAAAAGACCAAATTAAAGAAATTCTTTAGTATTAATTCGATGCATTTCTTTCATTAAAGTATTCATTTAATGAAATCGCATTTTAATTTCATTGTTGGTAACGGTATTATTATTAATAAAATAGATAGAAAATTAAAATAGATCTGATTATTAATAAGTAGGAAAAACAGGTACTGCAAATTTTCTAGTAATCACTCAGTATAACGCTGGTTTAACATTTATCTCTTAGCTTCCTGAAACGATTAGACAGCCAAAAAATAAACTTCAATGATTATTCTTGTAACGATTTGATCCGTTGAATGAAAAAGAGTAATCAAATGTCATTTCAACAGGTAGCCATTTATCTTAGAGCATAGTAAAGTATCTAGGTCAATTTATAGAAGATGATTAACAGCTTTAATTTAATTTACAAAATTAAGTGTTTCATTTGAGTACTAGAAGGAAATCCCGTCGCACTGATTAGTTTTTTGTTAATTATGATTGATTTTTAAATGGCATACTTAAAATTTAATTACGTTGTATGTTTACACAACATTCACAACTAATGAAATATTGGTGTATGTAAATGTGTAACCAAAATTTTGCTCAATCGGAAAAGTCGAAAAATGAATAATATAGAATCAATGAGGCTGAAAAACAATAATCTCAAATTTCTTGGAAGATCATTATTTTAAAGTAAACAGATGTTTCGCAATATAATATTACTGAGATGGTGCATTTGTCGTAGGCTAGCGACATGATTTCGTGTGGCGATTGCCTCAATATTTATTAATTGGAATTATTTACTCTGAAGAACACTGCTTTTTTATTTGCCTATGGATGGGAATAGTGAAGATCGTTGTCCATTGTAGCTGTACTAGTATCGAGGCGTTCGATTGGGACCGTTTTGGTAGCCGCGTGAGGCTTCAAATTGTTGAGGCAAAGTGTTCAGTCTCAAACATTGAGGAAGTCATATCTTTCTTGCATCAAGTGAAGTTGTCTCAGCTTAAGCGAATAATATTGTCAGAAACAGTAAACTTAGAAATATCTAAGAGACGACTTTCATGGACTGAAATTCTGAGACTGACTGAAATTCAAATATATAATTAAAAATAAAAAAAAAAAAAAAAAAAACTCAAATCTGGTCTCAGGAAGGGGGGCATGCATCTTACTTCATACATCACAATGGCTTATCCACGACAGTGATTGTAGATGTCACGAGATTTTTTTTTATTCTTATTTATTTTGTTTCTATCTGTTTTATTGTATTATATTTCATTCTAGTTTTTTCTAATGATAATTTGTCCAACAAGTCTTATGACTGCATATATCTCCATAGTTTTGACTGCATATATCTTCATAGTTATATCCAGCCGTATAACAGCTATATCTTCATAGCTGTTATACGGCTGTATATTGATTAATATAGGTGTACATATTTGTATATTTATTCTTGAAGCTAACTTCACTGTTTATATGTCGTATTTGTCTTTGTTGCTTCTCATGATTGCTTTTAGTTATATGTCAACCGAAACCTCCCAAAAGAAATGACGAGAGAAAGAATTCTTGCTTTGATTATAATCTACACCCTCTTCTGAGAAATCATTTAATGGTTATCTTTGAAATGTATCATACAAGCTATCAGATGCATATTAATAGTTTACCCTGAAATATGGTTCAAATAAAATATACAAACGCCTAATAATCATTTCTTTAAATGTAAGTCTTAAAAAATTATTAATGATTTTATATAGGTAAAATTAGTATAATAAGTTCTGTTATATTTTGGCACTTATGTGAATAAACTGTAGAGCTGTGAACACTGTATTATACAAGATTTTAGTTTTATTCATTAATTAGATAATTTCATTAACTAATTAACTAAAGGCAGTAAATCTTGTTCAATTTGGCAAATTATCATGTACACAGAAATTTAATATACACTAAAGTACACTATAAACATAGAAGTGAGCGGCAAGAAGTGATCTGAATGGAACGAAAGTCAGTAGATGTGATGAACGCTTATTGAAAATGAGACTCCACTAGTATCATAGGAACTGAATGTTTTATTGAAGAAATACAGATATAATAACAACAACAACAACAAAAAAAAAAAAACGAAACTTTGGCCTACATCTGGCTCTGAAGCAAGCTGTTATACGGATGGATATTGAATAATGTAGGTGACGGGTGTCTTCCTATGACATTGGCTTGTCATATAATACTGTTACGAAATGTACAGGCGTGGTTAAGATGGCTTCTCCGAAAAGCAGTTTTAGGGGTGCCATAAAATGGCAAAGGAGGTCAGCGTTGCCACATTTGGCGAGAAATCGACCATTTGGTGACATTTGGGGACAAAATTGGCGATATACCATGGACGGTTGGAGAACCTTCTGGAACGAATTCTTACCGGTTTAGCCCAGAATGTTCCCGAACACAAGCCGAAAGCTGTATAAACCCTGCTGGTCCGCAGTCAGTGTGTGTGCCTTGTCTAGCGAGCTGATAGTCATTGAGCGAATGTCTCGAAGTCTAGCGCCGAGTTGGTCGTTGAGTGCATCGAGAGAGTCATTTAGTGCATAGTCGAGTTTTGTCTTAGACTGTGCTGAGTCGAGAGTTATACTCTTGTGTATCGTCGAGTGTATCACGTGGAGAGTCTCGAGAACGACCAAACAGAGTCGGAAGCTGTACTCTGGTGCTTTGCGGTGAAGCTGTCTCCACCGTTTATTGCCTGGCAGTGCGAAGGCTGAGTCGCTGAACGTGTCAGCGTGTTTATAACAGTTCGACGACTGAAAAAGTGATTTTGGAGCTGTCCTGAGAATATTGGTAAATAAAGTGTGTTTCGATACTTCATCAAGTGTCGTCCTTATTCACTTCAAATCCACACAAACCCCGTACGAACGTAAAGAAAGAAAATAACGTAACAATATGTTATAAATGCCTAGTTAAATCAGCGTGGCCCAGGGATTGTCGGAGATACCTGCTTATTAGAGCCCAAACGTGCTCTATTGGGATGAAATCTTACAATCGCGGTGGCCAGGGTTGGAATGGTTGGAAAAGCACGAAGACAAGCAATAGAAAGGCATATCGTCAGCGTACGGGCTTTGTCGTGTTGAAGAAATTGGTGGACATACGGTCATGCTGTAAGTGTGTCATGGATGACAACGAAAAGAGGTCGGTTACCAAAGGAAATGACACCAATAACTCCTAGTTGACAGGCTGTGATGCAGATAACGGTCAGATAAGTATCCCACCGGTGACCTAGACACGTCTTTCCGGGCCATCGGGGCTCAGGTCGATGCGAAACTTATCGCTGAAAACGATTCTATTCCAATCCGTGAAATTTCTGGTAAAACGAGTCTGGCAAACTGTCTGGCGGTGCGCAACGGTGACGGTAAGTCAGTGCAATGTCCTCCATTGACCTCAACCTCTTTTCGAAGAATCTCATATCAATGGTCATTGCAGTCACTGATGTCTCGATTGCACACTGGTTCGCTGATAATGACGCATCATGGGGTGTCAGCACGGTAGTGCGCAACGGCGAGGCTAATTAACTAAGAATTCACTTATAGGGAAATTCAAAATCAGACTTTTTGCTGTAGCATATTCAGTCAAGGCCTTAATAAGCGCCGAACGGTCAAGATTGCTGTAGACTGGTAGTTCGATAAGGGTTCAAACCTAGCTGACATGATTGGTTGCACTGTTGGTTTAATGGTATTCCCTATGTGTAAGGTGAATGTGGGCCAGCTTCCCTTATAACGTCAGCCACGAAAGCATCCTTTCCTTCAGACAAAAAATCCTCGCCCGCTTTGCCATATTTGAATAACCTAACCTAACCTTTCAGTTAGAAGTTCCAACAATGTTCTAAGCTGTTATACCTTTTTATAGCCAAGTCTCTTGCCAAATTAAAAAAATAGGAAGGATTTGTACTTACATTATTCTAAACATTGTTGATGCTTACCCGTGTCTGATGCGTAAGGTCGCTGAACACTGTTCATCCTATCTCGATCTGGGATCATAATTCAATCTGGGTTTAAATCCCAGCGAACGACCTAGCTCCATGGATATTTTCGTGATGTTTCATTATGTAATATAGGTATAATCCAGTTTCCCTTAGAATTTCTCCCACGAAGGCACGACTTCCTTTACGGAGATAGCCCTCGCTTCCTTTGCTACAATAAAACAATCGAAACCAATCTAAATATGATTGTGTTGTAAAAAGCGAAGTGAAAGGTACCTGAAAGTAAATTATTATTTTATAGAAAAATATTAGAAGTCTTTTAGTCTTTTGTTTTATCCAAACTGATGTTATCATAAACTGCAATGAGGAAACAACATTTTAGTACAATTGAAATACAAGATCTTTACTTTCAAACCTTCCCATCACAGATAAAATATAGCTTTGTCTTCCCCTTAAGTTCAAAATGCAAAATTTTCAAAGTTTTAAAATACGAAAAGTTATATACCATTTAAAAGTGAAATTCGTTGTATGGCTAATTTATTTTCTTTTCTGTTACACAGTATATTAATCGTGCATTTTTCTTTTGTAAATTGAAAAATATTCCAAGTTTACATCCATTGGTGAGGAAATAAATGTTATTTAAATGAAGTCTCCTCCGTCGATTAGAAAGCTAGTACTTTCCATTTTCAGTTAATGAGAATAATGTACATTAGCTAATTACAATTGTTACCAGCTTAAGGAATATTTGTTGTATACTTGACATAATCCAACAAACAGGTCTATTATAAGATGATTTATCTATCAAAGTGTTCTAAATATTAATGTTTCTGTCTGTCGTATATCTAATATCGCAAAATATTAACAGCATCTTCAAATTTAGAAGACGTACCAATTATTATTTAAATTAAACGTTGTCATAACTCATCGATATCGACTAAAGAAAGATGTATGCTGTAAGGACGACATAGTTCCACTAGACGAAATTATTACATATTAAATACAAATAGGAAATTCTTGCACTGCTGCAGAGTCCGGTTATTGAGTATAACGATTTTAAAATCAGTTGAATTTTAATTTTAATCATAAAATGATTTATAAAGGATATAATTCAGATTTATATTCATAATTATTAGAATTTCTGTAATTGTTAAATTGTTTTCTCGTAGCATTGTTCTTGAAAATAAACTTCACCTTCACCGGGAATCGAATCATGAATCTTCCTATCCCTAGGTGTATGTATACGACCCTAGCTGTATAGCCCTAGCTATATCCGATACACTATCTGTATCCTATCCATAGCTAGCCTATCCTATCCCTAGCTGTATGTATACTGAATTGAAAGTTGTAAATGGAAGGAATGGCTTAAATTCTTATACGTTTTTAGTTAATTAACACTCAGTCTAATGAACCTTCCTTTATTTATCAAAGTTCTATTATTATAAATAAATAATAATAAATGTTATTTTAGTAAAATTTATGACAAATCTTTCTCCTTCAGGAAGTCCATCTCCTTCTGTAACCTGGTGGCGAAATAAGTCGCTTTTGGATGATACATTTAACCAAGCTTCCCAAAGTTATATCAGGAATGAACTGGTCATTCTGGAGCTTCGAAGGTCAGATCTTCTTGTAGAATTAACATGCCAAGCATCCAATACAAATCTTACTAAGCCATTATCTGAATCTATTCAGATAGATCTAAACTGTAAGTTTTAATTTTAGAAATTACGTTACATACGTCTTGCCTTTGGTTAGGTTTTAGTATAAGAAATAAAATTATTTTATTTTATTTATTTATTTATTTATTTATTTATTAATGTTTAGAAATTTTCTTTACTTCCGTTAGCAGTCTTATACGATTTTAACTTTGATTTTATAGTTATAAAAGGTTATAAATGTCAATCTGAACACTATTAACGTTGCTCGAAATTTCAAATTTGAAGAGTAAAAATATATGTTGTTTTTATTTTATTAAATTCAGCTTAATATGTCTTTAATTATTGGTAATTTTATTATTGGTTAAGTTCACTATTTTTAAATTTTGTTACATAGGTAATATAATTTTTAAATTATATTACCCATGTATGTTTATATATATATATATATATATAATATAGTATAAGTAAAGTATAATATAAAGTAATATAAATATAAAGTTATATATAAAGTACAGATATACAAAAATAGGTTTGACTTCATCTTCCAAAATATGAAAATAAAATAATCTTAAAAGAAAGAACGAAAAAAAAAAATGAAGAAACGTGTGCTTGAAAATCCAAGTCAAGAGTAAGTCCTTTATGTAAAGAACCTGAGATAGTTTACAATGTAAATTAATTATTTTTATTTTTTCTCCAACATTCAAAGATCATACAATATGTATGCAAAATATGATATAAATAATTTAGACCAAAGTTACGCAACGCGACTTGAAAAAACTGCATCAACATAAATAAGTTCCTAATCTCGTAGTTGCTTCATTAGAATTGTCGTTCATTTTTGGTTGTAATTCGTTTTCAAAGAAATTGATTCATGGTTATGCTTCTTAAATTACGAGGGAATTCCTCTCAGAACAGCAAATGAAATTGGTTTGTACATTTATCCAATACTTTTATTTTGTTTGCTTATTTATTTTTAGCCCGAAGGAACAATTTGCCCAGAAGGGTTGTTAATTTCTTTTTGGTATTTTGCGTCGTCCACTGTAAAACGGCGTTATATTTTTCAAATTGTTGCCATCAAATGTTAGAGCTCTGCATTGTATTTAAAGAAATGAAATAATGAAAAATCTGCCTGAAATGTATGTATGTTTCTCGCATTCTGAAAAAAAAAAAGAAAGAAACAGCTTGCAGATTTTGAATAACGTAGTCCTCCACTCGAATATGGCATCTGGAAGCCGAAAAATTTCGAATTTTTTTCATTATCAATTTCATGTTTTTTTAAAACTTTAACGATTTTTTTTTAATAAACTGAATGGTTTTTTAAACCGAGCAAAAGTAGCACTTTTCCAAAAAAAGCATTTTTATCTCCAGTGTTTGAGACTATCGTAAATTCTAAAGATATGCTCTTTTTAAACATTTTGTGATACTGCTGTTGAATTGAATTTTATGGTTTAAGTGCGAAGAACATAATATTTATAATGAAAGGTAACACACGAAACGTTAAAACGTTACGCCCCTTTGGGCGTAATATAAAATCTGAAAGCTTTCAGATTTATTATTATTATTATTATTATTATGCTGTTGTTCTTGTTGAAGTATCACACACATTATTTGCCTTTGTACGTGTAATTTATACATCACTTATTTGCAATTACTTTCTTTGATTTTCAAACCATATTTTCTGAAATTGTTTTGCATTTATTATTTTTGAAATACTATTTATTTATTTATTTATTTATTGTGCATTACATACTGCTTACATAAGAATTAAAACGAAGTCAATCTTTGCGTATTGCTCTGTCTCTGCGTTTTGTATTGCTCTGTAAATCATTTACATTTCCTCAAATGAGCTAGATATCATGGAAATTTCTAACCGATCATTGGAAGTATTGTAAGTTTAATGATATAAGATGATAAAAAGCAACGGAAAGAGGAGCATTTTATGTTTCTAAATTAATTGTTTAATATGTAATCGGAAATTTTAGTTTCTTAGTTAAGGACATTTGCTTCTTAAGTTTACGTTTACGTATTTTTTGTAAATATTTCTTATCGGGAATAAAATATTTGCTTTTTCTATTTCAACAAGTGCGTCCTCTGTACGTCAGAATAACTACTCTCCATCGTCCTTTGAAAGCTGGTGATGAATTACGGCTCAATTGTGAAACTTCTGGTTCGAGACCACCAGCAAAGATTTCTTGGTGGTTGGATAACAAAAGGATACAAAGTGGTAAAGAATCCATTCCTAACAGTCGGAACATTACATACAGCAGCTTAACGTTGAGGCCAGGAGTTGATGACAATGGGAAAATGGTGGTCTGTAAAGCAGAAAATCCTGCACTTCAGCATGCTGTAATGCAAGACACTTGGTACCTCAACGTACATTGTAAGTATAATCTCATTTTACGTGAAAGGTAATTCAAAATTTAATGCATAATTATTAGTCAGAAAAGTCTTTTTTCTAGGCCTTACTTTTTTCTGCCCACACACATCGTACTGATGCCCATGCATACATCGAAATCTTAGTTTCTATTAAAATAAATGTTGTTATTAATACGTGTTCGCGGGTTAAGACATGCGACCATTGTCATAAATGAAATGGATTTCAGTGTCACATTGAATTAATGTAGTATAATAATCTAAGAAAAATTGTATTTGTGTTAAATGCATGCGATTTTTCTAAAAAAAATTATCTTTTTATATCGCTTCAAAAGGAAAGTAGTTGTGTATTAGAGGAAGCTTGAGAATCAGAATCAGAATAAAATTCGCTGAGTTATAAACGTAAAAATTTATTCACATCACAACAAACAATTATATTTTTTGCCTGGTAAATTTGATCGGCTTTGATTTCCTTTTTAGGTCAATTTATTCATGCGGGCAAACGTTTTTCTCATTTGAAGACTGCTTTGAGAGCATGAGAAATTGCCCAACCTGCAAACTGAGGAACATGAGTGAAACTGAAAATGCCCAAATAAATATGTTTATTGAAAAGTTAAACTAAGGATTGACTCTAATCAATAATAATGAATGTTTGCTCTTGAAAGCGAAAACAAGTCACAAAAAATAGAAAACACATTATCAGACCTTTATAATATACTATTTTGTATTTAACTAATGATTCATGATTTGAATATGTTTATTTAGAAATTAAATTTTGAAATATATATATATTATTTTTCATTTAAATAATGAATATGAATAAAATAAAATTTTAGTTTGAATTTAAGAAAATCTAGAAAGATTCAGAGTTTTAAAATTTACATCAGAGGTTTCCTAGAAGAGGGTTTGAAAACCTTCTGACTCAAAGTTCTCATATATATATATATATATATATTATCCAGGCATTTTGTCTTTTAAATAGAGGTGTCCCTTCTTCAGTAGAAATTACTTCATACTAAAAAAAAATGTAATTTTATTAGAAATTCAGGTTGTATCAAACTTTAAGTAAATGATGTATAAATAATTAACGTAGTCACAGGTATTGAATTTGAAGTAGTAGGGTTTCACTTGATCTGGTAATGTTAAGTAATGCAACAACTCTAACAGACATGCAGAGAATTAACGCTGTGACTGAAGTAACTACAAAGTCTTGAGAAGGTTTAATATTTTTTTTTATTTAAATATAATTTAGAATATAAAGATGCTCTGTTGTGCAACAATATCAACCACAATTCGGTGAAGCAACTAAACAGAGCAGTCAAATTAAAGTTAAACGTTGAAAAATATTCAGGGACTACACAATATATTACTCGAATTTGGTTCAGTAATTCTACCGAAGTGCCAAAATCAAAGTGGCGGCAGCAATAGAATGTGAAGCCGAATAATTATAACTATCAGAGTTGACAAAAAACTAACACGTAGAAATCACGAGAAGCCAGAAATTCGCTCTATCTTAAAATCCCCAATCATCAGTTTAAATCAAAATCGCAATAACAACCTCGTATTTAGCGTAAGTATATTACAACACTCATTCGATTTCGAGGGCAGCTAAAGGTCCCTCTTCATCATGAGGACGAAATTTCTAGAAAGGAGAAAAAAAAAATAAAGCATAAGCAAAGGAGTCTCAGAAACACGTAGTCCTTATCAGCACGCACGTGGTCGTAACCGGAATTTGAATCAGAGTTTTACTGGCCGCCTACTTTTACTGAGCCACGCTATCTGATCAAACCTAGGACGAAAACACAAGAAAATCAGACAAAAAATAGGGAGCGAGGGGCAACTGCACCTTCACGAACCAAGTCTGAACTTCGAATAAAGAGTGTCTAATTTGCATTCTGGTGAGTAATACGGAAAGAACAAGTAATAGCAAAGTTCAAAATCATAATAACTGATTATTTTAAAATAATAACCTTACTACGTTAATGAAAATTTAAAATTCTTAATTAAAAATGTTTAATTATTGCAAAATGTATGAAATGAACAAGTGAGTTTCGTACTTACAGAGATTTATTTTAAAAAATTCGTTAACTTGTGTTTGTTTAAAAGTCTGTTCATTACAAATATTTTTTTCCATGTGGATATTAAATCTTTGTATGATAATCTTAATATGATCTTAAATCTTTGTCTGTCACCCATAGTATTCATCAATTTTTTTAATTGGGATAGGCTTTGAGGCAGCGTGGTCCAACCCGCGGCCCTCTTATTCATTTTTTTGTTGGCACTTGCCCTTCTTTACTGGAAAAAAAAAAATGTTAGTTAAATATTTGGAAAAACAAAAGACTCTTCTTACTGTAAATAATAAATAACAAATATAATAATTAAATAATAAAAATTATAAAGCTCAGATAATGAAACTGTTGTAAATATTGTAAATTTAATAAGGGAGGGCAAAGCCCAGAAGCGCAGAGCATTTATTGCATTTTGTGGGCAATTTGTATGCTGCGTATGGGGATATTTCATTGTAGTGTCAAGTGCGCTGGCTAAATGTTGGAAATTGTCTGCAACAGTTTTTTAGGTTGAGGAATAAAATTCTTGCTTTCCTCAAAAACGAAAACATTGGGCATGAATATCTGACCATTAACAACCCATCTAAACGCTTTAAACTTGAAACTACAAGGCGGAAAACAAAATATAGCTCAGCTTTATGGACATATTGCAGGTTTTCGCAAAATAATTAATGTAATGCAGATTGCTCTGAAGGCAAATAATACGGAACACTTCCCATTTTGTCAGCAGCTGAAAGAAGAAAATGACACAAATGTTTCAATGTTTCATGAAATAATTACTGGTATCAAGAAAAAGTTTCAGGACAGATTCCAGGATTTTGACTCCCTAAAATAAAAACTTCCACTGTTAAACAATCCTATGGAGATTGAAGTAAGTGAGATGCCTAGCGACATTCAAATGCAAATTTTGATCTTCAGGCAGATCCATTCTACCAGACTAAAAAGTGTGATACCACTGAACATTTCTGGAAACTGATTTCTAAAAAAAACGTTTTCCACAACTTCATAAATTCTTTTTGCAAATGTTATCGCTGGTTGGCAGTGTACAGTTGTGGAAAGAGCGCTTTTTCGCTCTCAAACAAATTAAATCAAAAACGAGAAATCGCGCTGAAAGTGCTTCACTGGAATCGAGCCTGAGACTTTGTCTTCTTAAAATTACAGTGAACATTAATAAACGTGTATCAAAAAAGCAGTGACAATCATCACACTGATTTCTAAACTGTAAAATAAAGTGATATATTAAACTAGTGATTTATATGTAATTAATTTTTTTTCTTTAATATCTCTGACCCTCACTCTTCTATACTAACGTTTGATTGGCCCTTGGGTAACTAAAGGTTAAACCACACTGCTTTAAAAGCATATGTATAGTTTTTTCGTAACACTTTCCATCTTCCTCACTGCTTTTCAATCTACTTTTCTTAAAGCTCGCATCATCAGCCACATCTGAAATAAAAGATTTTATGTTATTTGTGGTGTCTTAAATACACAAGTTTTCATCGATTTCTAAATTTTCTTCCATTTGAGCACGCGACTGATTTTGACAATTTCAAACAATTTATTTTCACTGAGAGCACTTGAAACTGGAATTTCAAAGCCTGCTTTGTTAAAAAAATGGCTGAACACATTTTTTAAACGGATTTAACATCCTTTGTCATCCACTGAATGGCACTCAGTACACTGACGCATTTTGAAAGCTGATCTCTGTTTGCGCAAGCAGCTTGGCAAATAATATGCAGTAAAAACAGCTTTCTGTAATGAGCCTTGAAGTTTCTAATTATGTATTTGCCCAAACGATTTAATACTGATGTTGAATTATGTGGAAAAACACTAATTTCAGTTTAACATTTGGTTGCGGGGCTGGCGAATTTTCCAAAAATAGCAGAATATTTCTATTTTTCCAGACATTGTTTCATTAGGAACAATCAGTCATTATGACCATTTGCTTTGCGTCATCAATGAGTTTCATTCCGATGCCAATGACTCGATAATGGTTTTAGATAGTTGTGTTTGAAGTATTTTGCTTTTTTAACCGATCCAATTACAAGTGGTTTCTCAAACTTTCCTTTTATGTTACAACCAAGTAGCAAATTTCTTTGAGATTTTATTACATCATAACTTTTCTCCTTTGAAGTATAAGGTTTTTATTAGGTAAAATTCGATAAAATAATCTCTCATCTGCAATGTATATATTTTAGCATCATTTATCTTTTTTATCTAGTCTATTACAAGTTGCATATCCACTGCTAAGTCTTAAACGTAATGTTAAGCCCTTTCTGAAATGTGTCTAAACATTCATTTGATGCTTCTGTAGCCCCAGAATTTCCAAAACATATTTTGCCTTTTTCTGCAGTAATACTCCATTTACATGAATATTGTTTGCTGTTGCAGAACAAAAACAATTGAATACTACTGTATCAATTTCACCATGCTTCAATTTTTTCGTGTTGGAATGTCGTTTGAATTAGTAATCCATAATATTTTTTTCTTTTCTATCCTTTAGCACATGAAGTTGGTTTATGTTTGCCCTAAATCTTTCAAACTAAGCTTTTCAATCTCTGATACATGAATCACATGAACTTTTGTTTTAACATTAAGCTTTTCCTCTTTCAAGCCATGCTAGATAAAGTATGTAAAAATAACACGAGTACAAAACTACATTTCTGTTGCTCCCCAGTTCTCGAAAGAACTAAGAATGATTGAATTTTTTACTCTGTCAACACTGTGCCTTGGCAGATAATCCAGCCATCTCACTACCTTTTCTTTCCCATTCGTCCTTGTCTTGGATTGCCTTACAAAGTTCTTACACTGTTTTCTTGTCTGCTGAGAACTGTAGCAAGAATAGCTAGATTTTGAATTCTTTTGATTGCACCATAACTTGCACTTTCTCAATATTCTTGTTCCTCTTTTGACTAGTGAATAGCAGTTTTCCAATAAGAAAAATTAACTTTTCATTTTATTATATCCTTGTCACAAAACTATACTTCATATAGCACAAACTTACCTTGGAAACTTCAAACTATTAGTAACAAAGAATATTTGCATTCTTATTTATTTCTCTAATTCTATTATATTTTTGAAACTGCCTTTCTGCGTCCCTTAATAAGAGGTAATTACATTAAATATCCTATGCAATTAGACCTGAACCAACAGAAGTGTCCCTTAAATAGAGATGCTCGTATTCGGAAGTAACCGTTACAGGAGATACTGCTGTATATTGTCGTTTACGAGGTTCCAATCTATACGTTAGATATCGAATAATTACCGACTGAGTGAGGTCGTACATAAACTGTTTATTGGATTAGTGCGAATGCAAAAATGAACCGATTTGGAGAAACAACGCGTTTGTATAAAATTTTGCATAAAACTAAGCAAAACGTTCAAGGAATTGTGCCAGTTTCTTAACTAAACACACAAAGATGACTGCAAGAGTAGTGCTATCAGTGGTTTCAGCGTTTAAAGAACGAAGTTCTGTTGCCAAAAATCCAAGGATTGATGACCTTCTACGTCAACTTCGCACTTCGGTTGTTAATCACTTCTCACTTGACCAGGCAGACTTTCTCCTTTTTCTAAATTTAAAAGCACTTTTAGGAAATGTTTGTCCAGTCCATAGCGAGAATTCAGTAAAATATAACGACAATACTATAAACGATCGAAAACAATGATTTCGAGCAATTCTTTCAAAAGTGAAATTATTGATGACAACGGTGTATTGACACTAGGGGAGTACTTTAAGGGTACAGTAGTTGAAAGGTTGCATAATGATAAATAAAACATGAAAAGCTAGGTCTTTTCGTTTTAGGTCATTTTGCATACAGGTTGATTCGCTTAACCGTGTAAAAACTTCAAAGACAGGTAGGTTACTGAAAGATGATTTAGTAATACATAACAATGTAGGGTTAGAAATGCATTCTTAGTTCGTTAGAGGGCATTGTTGGGGAACAAGTAACACCTCTTCGTGTCAAATTCGGCATTCAACAATCAATCGCAGACGAAATAGGAGGAAAGGTTTCAGTAGTTCCGAGTTAGTAGATATCCATCTAGCAAAGGGAGCGACCGACTGTTGTGGGCTAGCCCCTGTTGGCCTGTACAGTAAGTACAACATCAATAGGAAATTTCCGAAACACCAAATATTTGGACGGCTACATCAACGATTGCGCGATACTCGATCTTTCGAGACAAGTAAAAGATTCGTAAATGAACAACACAGGCACTTGAAGTAGAAAAGAGAGTGTTTCGTTATGCATAAATTAATCCACATCTCAGCGCACGATCGCTAGAATTTCGTTGTTTCACAAACCATGAGCAGCGTGAACAGCATTTGCTTCCTTCTGAATACGAACTTCTTAGTTGCATTTGCTGAAATGGTGTGCGAAGGAATTTCATTTTCTGCTGCTATCCTATTCCTACACACGTATATATGGGTACTGAAAAACCTCAGGAGAATGTGGAGTACAATATCGGTTTTCCCAAAAGTTCAATTTCCAAGAAATGCTTTCAACTATTAGTAAAATCCATTGTTTGATTCTTAAAAAATTTCATTTCTGACTTTAATTCTTGGGGAATTTATAGCATATCTTGCTTATGTGGTTTGAGATATATCGCCCAAGAACGTGAAAGTGTCGCATCAAGAAACATGAATCTGCAAGAACTATCCAGATAGCTTCTTCAGTTGGTGAACTGGATTTATTTGAAGCTTTTCACATTTACAAAAATTTAATTCTCATTAATGGTTTTACTTCCAATCCAGTTCTTTATAACTCTTTTAATATTAGTGTAATTTTTAAAGTTTCGTTATTATTTTTGTGGACCTCCGTTTTCATTTTACATTTTGGCTTTCGGTACAAATACAGCTCCTTCCTTGCAGAATTTGTTTTCTCATGATGATAAAGAGCCTGGTCCTATCGCCTCGAAACTGATAGAGTCTTTGATAAAATATACGCCAAATAGAAGAACATTGCTTTGCCTAGTTTTATGATAGATGAAATCTTGATTTTCGACTCGTTCATCATTCAGTCCAAGTTAATTTTTAACTTATTAATGAGATCGCTCTTTTCTAACTGAATCTTGCATTCTACAGTTCTAATCAAAAATGCTGTTATGTAATGCTTTATTTATATTAGAACATAGTTAAATGATTGCAAGCCTATTTGTATACATTGATTTACTTCCCTGTATATGATTTTCAATCCATTATTTTTTTTATTTTTCAGTTCCTCCGGAAGTATACTTGCAATTAGGAGCAAATATCAAGTATTCCACAATAAAAGAAGGCAATGATGTGTACTTAGAATGCACAATTCGTTCAAACCCACCAGTTACAGAGTTAATTTGGCTTTTCGAAGGGCGGAACTTTTACGGTAATTCTTCAGTTGGTATTATTATCTCCAATCAATCCCTTGTACTTCAAAAAGTTAAAAAAGAACACAGAGGGAGATACAGATGCATAGCAACAAATTCAGAGGGTGAAGGAGAAAGTTCAGATTTATTTTTGGAAGTAAGATGTAAGTAGAAATTTTATTTTCTTATAATATTAAGAATGAAAACTTCTTTACAAATTGCAGTCTGTTTATCATAAAAGCATTGGGGAAAGGAGTGATCAGGCGGTGGTTAACGATACATCAGTTCTGGGACTATTATTCACAACGGCACGTTCAAAGGTTAAAGCGGATGCATTACGCAAAGTACACTTTCAAAATAACAACTTTTATGGTAAACTTATTTTGTGAGTATCAGTTACGCTGAGATTTCCATAAAATTAATCGAGTAAAAATAGGCCGCGCTGTTGACGAAGCGAAGAAAAAATGCAAACTTTTAGACGTTAGAGCTATGACAAGAGGACCTGCAAGAAGCAGAATTGTACTAAATTTCGCCCTCTAAATGTATTAATATCGGTGCTTAAAATTGTTTTCTCCAGTTTATTTGTTTCTCATAGAGGTGACCCCTGGCCTCTAGGGATTCCGCTTCTTTCTTCAGCCGATAATTGTTTTTCGAAGCATTTCAGTATAGTGTATACGTTACTGCAAATGTGCGAAAGTCGTTATTGTGCATATTACTTAGCCTAATCTGCAGGTTACCTGATTTGCTACGTTAAAGTGCGGAACAAGAAATGCCAGCATTTTACCTAGGTAATGCACACATTAACGGCTTCCGTATTGTTAAATCTCAAAAGTTAGTTTCTCTCATTTCTTTTCCCTTTCGCTCTACTTTTCACATTACCTACTAGGCACACGTTAAATTAAAAATGAAATCTTGGCTGGGCCAAGAGCAAAGTTCTGGTACGTTTAAATTAACATAATGTTATTTATTTATTTTTCGATATCTAACAAATCAAGTTTCTACAATCAAAAGATTAACAAACTAGTTGATAGGATCAATCATCAATCAATTAAAAAATGTAATACAAAGAATAAAACGGTTTAAAATATTATTACAAATGAAGAAATGAATTTGTAAAGCACATGATAAAATTTTTCTCATTTATTAATGCAGTCTAAAGATTGATGATACTTTGAATTACATAGCGACTGGATTTTGCGACAAGTACACCTATTTATGGTACATTTAGTTTTGCAGTAGCATTTTCTGAAACCCTGCCCGATAAACAATTTCAAAGTTGCGCCTGTTTTAAGCCTGCAGAAACGTTTCTTTGTTCCAGCAGAGATCGTATTTTCACTTTAACGGGGGCCTAAGAGGTAATGTGCGGATTATCTAGGTAATTTGAGAAATGAAATCAATTTTCCACACTTTGACGGGCCACCCTAGTTAATCTCCAGATTAGCCAGATAATCTGCAGAATAACTGATTTCCGCGATTTAGCGGTAACATATACAAACATAAACCTACAATAACCCAAGTGACTCAAAATATTCGCGTTGAAATAGCCAAATGTCTTTTTTTTTTTTTTTTTTTTTTTTTTTTTTTTGCGTGTGTGTGTGTGAGAGAGAGAGAGAGCGAAAGATAGAATCTACATGCTCCGTTGAAAAGTGATCTGAATGTGGATATCTCGACGTAAAATTTAATTTCTCGGATATATTTATTCTGCCAAGTAAAAGCTTAGTAACTGAACCTATCCGAAATTTTTATTTGTTTTTCAAAAGCATAAAAGTTAATGCCCTATCTGGGATTTAGGACTGCTTAAATATATCCATGTAATCTTAAATGTATCCATAAATAAATCCATTTCATTTATTATTAATTATTATTATTGTTACTAGTATTATTTTTCAAATTTTGTGATCATGAAATGTTCAAAGTCTCATATGTCAAGATCCGATACATTCACGCGGGCCCACAAGTGCTATATAAATATTACATAGTGACATTTTTCTCTTTGAATGAGTAGAAACTGTCCTTAGAACTACAGCTTTACTTCTCTTACCTTTAAAGAAAAACGTAAATAAATATTCATAATACCACATTCAATGAAAATTTACGTTACAGTAATGTGGCCAAAATTTCCGTTTTCTGCAAGACAATTTGTCATTTCAATGCAGTATCGTATTTCAGGATATGTCCTAAGAAATTATCAGCATTCACTAAACATTCACGAATTTATAATAGCTGATATGGGCATTATTAATGCCGCTTCGTACAGTTCTGTGGGATTAGAAATGTGTTTAATAATGTATACATTTGTTTATATGTAACATTTTAGGGAAGTTTCAAAATGCTTAAAAAGAATCTGAAAAAAATTCTGGATTTCTCCCTCAGCTGCGTTTCGTACTTTGAAAATGAGGGTGTGAAGCTAAGCTGCCGGAAAAATTTTTAAATAATCACTATTAAAAATATTGAAGAAACATGGAAAAAATGTAAAGAAAAGGCTTAATATGAAAAATAGCATTTTGACAAAGAAAGTTTATCAGATATCAAATGATATTTAATACTGAATTTAAGAAGATATTCAGTATCCAAAAAAAAAAAAAAAAAAAAAGTATCCCGCGTTTCATGCTAAAACCGAGCAAATTGGGGGGAGATATTTTTCATAATCAGAACAATCATGCTTCTTTCAAATCTCTAGCATTAATATTCTTTTAAATCTGCAATACTAAATGAAGCCCTCTTTTTATATCAGTTGCAGCAATACAGAGAAAACATTCTAGGAAAGTACTAAAGAAAAGGAACTACTCATATATTTGAAAGAGTTTATTGTATGGTTGTTTCTATGAAGCAAGTCCGTATTCACCAATCTTTCCAGCGAACAAATCCTTTCCATATTTTAATAACTACGTTAACCACAAAGTCATAAATCCAATGGTTTTGGATATATGTGTTGATCTTTATCATCCCTACTTTCCTGGACATCCTGCATATTTTGATAATATATATAGTGAAAGTATCATGGCATTCACTTTAAAAACATAAACAGTAATTCCAGGAACATGTATTGACTATCATTAATAATCAAGTTCTATAATTTTTCTATTATATTCAGTGATATAAACCTTTTAGAACCGTATGGTCTGTGTAGGTGGTTCCGCTGAAAAGTGTGAATACTTAAAAAGACTCTGAGAAATAAAATACTATACTTAAAACAATGTAGGTTTTAATTCGGTAGTTGCCGAAACTGTCTTGCTCTGCTTTTGAATACTTATTATCTGATATTTACATTTGAGGACGTTCCAACTGACCACATAGAAACAGCACTTCCACAAGTACACGCATGTCTGACTGGATGTGGCTGTCTTATCCATATTGCATGGAACAATGGTTGCAAGAGCCTACTCCAGAGAGGCTGGACTTCAATGTTCTGCCCGTTATTTTGAGGGAGAGCATCCCGGGGGAATCCAGGAGTCTTCCACTCGTCTGTTCACCCAGCAGTCTACACGAGGGGACTTTTGCCTCGCCGCATATTTAGAATGCCGCCATGCCGCACCGACACTATACATTTGCAAACATCCACGTCTTACCCGGGATTACACCGTATGTAACATTATTGTTTTTGGATTCATGGCTTCTCGAAAATTATGATTCGTAAATGTGTGGTTGTATGACTACTTCATATGTATTTCATATGTTGCAAAAATAATTTTTATATGATAAGTTATATTAATTATTTACTTTGTTTTTCAAAAGAAAGCATCTTAAAATAATGCAGATTTATTTTGATTTGTCCTGTATAATACAAAAATGGGTTTCATGTTCAGCTGTTTTGTTTACTCGTGATTCTGAACTTAGGGTTGGACACTTCTAGAGCATCAGAGATGGAATTTCAAGGAACGAAAAAGAGTAACTTAGATGAATCGCCTGTCATATGCTCTCTTAGAGTAAATGCTTTTGCTAAGCTTAATCTTATTTTTGTAGGTTGCGCGAATCCAAGTCCTAGGTGCAGATACGTTTGATAAAATTTATGACAAAGTTTGAAAACAAATTTTTAATTTTATAAATTTAACCTTAAACTATAAATGTAACCTTAACTTTAAATATGTGAATGCACAGATCGTAAACGTTTCAAAGCAACTCTGCCCTAAGAGATGACTATGGAATCAATATTTAAATATTAACTTCGTCGAAAGCGTTTTACCAAAAAATTGGAATGCATTATTTCCGAATTTTAATTTTAACTCATCGAAGTCAATAAATTAAACCCAAAAATTATCCCGCCTAATTAAAGGATTTTATTTTGCACTATATCCTGAAATATATCGCCATAAAGCTCCGTTTGTATATAAATCATGAGATATTAATTTTCTTAAGCAAATGTTCTACTGCAAAATGCTCTTTCTTATAAATCAATGAAGAAATCTGAAGCTAAATGAATGCAAGCATAGAATTATAATATCCAAAGAACAGTCAAAATGAATGCATTTTCTACTGATATTTTTTTAACAATAGAATAGAGGTGTAAGACTCTCATTTTTATTCTTCTTACTCCAAAGTCGGATGAAAAAATGCATTTTTCATCCAGGCCTGTACATTTAGAAGTATTTCCAATTTGTATGGCAATTATTTAAAAAAAAATGACATAAAATATGAGCATTACACGTTTTATAATTTATATAAAATACAATGAAGTGGAAAACTAATGCTCCTTTCTAAAATCCATCTCGGCCTTTTTGGTAATTTTAATAGTTGTGAGAAAAGAATTCAGTGTTGTGTAACTGTTTTGCTTATATTTTTCTAGTGTTCCCACTATTGAGGAATTCGGATTATTCCAGTTTTTAAATTTGCAAATCGTTTGAAAAATTATAATTCTTAATACAAAAGCTGCTTCTTAGATTTGCGAATGGAAAGAATTTGACATCGGATCATGGGATTTAAAAATCTATTTAAAAAGCAGGTTGAATTACAAGAACAAACAGGTTAGAACACTTTAGAAATTTAGAATTAGAACCCAAGCACTACGAAATTTCTGTATTTTGTACGTTTCCTGAAGGAATAAGAAATATCTCAACTTTCATTAAGTTCTTTTTATTTCAGAATTTGTATCATATTGATAACATTAATATCGATTCTTAAAATGCATAGCAAAATTCAATCCGTTTAGACAGTAAAGTATTCTGTA